CCCATAATCCTGAGAGGAGAATGGAGGAGAAGGGACTGTGGTGTGGCCATCTCCCCAGGGGGTGATTTCTTGCTGTCTGTCTCTCTGGTGAGTGCAAGTGCCCTATAGCAAAAATCTCTCTCTCAAATAAAAAAATTACTTATTTAATTTTATTTATTATTATTATTAATTTGATCAGTGAGAGACAGAGAGGGAGAGACAGAGGAGGGAAAGTGAGAAAACAAGTTACCAGGTCTAGGACTTGAACCATTTGGGAGTCTAACACCTTAACCACCATGCCACCTGGTATCATCCCCTCTTTTAAAAAAATACACTTGTATTTTTTAAAAAAAATTATTTTTATTTAACTTTATTATTATTATACTTTTAATTTGCCCAGAGATGGACACACACACACACACACACACACACACACACATAGAGAGAGAGAGAAAGAGAGACAGACAGACAGAGAGAGAGAGAGAGAGAGAGTCATGTAGGAGTCCAGTGTCTTTAGCCACCATGCCACCTGCTGGCCCCCAATAAACTTGTATTTTTAAATAACTTTGTATTCCATTTTTCCAGAAACCTTTTTTTTTTTTTAAGTTTGCTAGAGGGCACATTACTCCAGAGACAGAGGAAAGGAGAGAAAGCACTATCCAGGGTAGATGATCATGCTGCAATCCCTTCTCCTCCACTCTCTGAGGACTTTTGGGCACACACATACATGTGTGTAGTGCGTTTTTCAAGCTGCCAGGTCAAAAACTTGAATCATGCAGTTGGCCATGTGGGATTCAGCTGCCTTAATCACCACATCACCTTGCTGGCCCCTGGTGGGCTTTCTTTCTCTCGTGAGCACATATACCCTATAGCAATATTTAAAAAAAAGCAAAGTCTTTTTTTAAAATATTGAGGTCTTCTATGATGCCCCTCCCTTGTCCTTCCCATATCATCGATATCATTTTATCCCTATAAGTCCCACAGCAGTCATTACCACCTGTCTTACATTCATTACATTTTATTTATTATCTGTGCCTTCCCATTAGGATGCAAATTTCATGACACTTAACACTGCATGTGTTTTTCTCTTGGTGTATCCCCAGTGCCTAGAATAATGGCAGACACATTAATAAGCTACTGATCATCTATGTGACACATCTTAGAAACTTTTTTTAGAACTCACCAGTACCAGGCTGTGCCAGTACTGTTCCAAGCACTTAAAAATATTACCTCATTTGGGATCAGCAGATGTTGTAATGGTTACGTTGCTGGACTCCTGCATAGTTGACTGCAATTCAAGTCCCAGACCTGGTGGCTTAAAACTCACGCCAGGCACATACGTGTGTGTGCCCAAAATCCTGAGAGAAGAATGGACGACAAGGGATTGCAGTGTGGCCACCAGCCCTGCCCCCCCAGGGGGAAGGATGTGATTTCTCACTTTCTGTCTATCGCTTCGGCGAGTGCAAGTTCCTTAGAGCAAAAATCTCTCTTAAACAAACAAACACCTTATTTAATTTTCCTACAAACTCGGCCAGTAAGCATAATTATTATCATTCTCTCTCTCTTTCTTTTTTTTTTCTTTTGGAGAGATTTTTGCTATAGGGTGCGTCCACTTGCTAGAGAGAAAGAAAGCAAGAAATCACTCCCTGGGAGGGTGGCCACCCCACAGTCCTTTCTCCTCCAGTCTCCTTTTGGGATTTTGGTCACGCACGCACACAGGCCTAGTGTGAGTTTTAAGCCTCCGGGTCCTGGACTCGAACTGCAGTCAACTACATGGGAGTACAGCAACATAACCATTACGCCATCTGCTGGTCCCCCATTCTCCATTTTCAATGAGAAATTGATGCACAGAGAGGTTAACATACCCAAGGTCATACAGCTAAGTGACAGAAGTCGGCAGTCAGAATGGAGTCTGTACCTTCTTCCCCCAGGCTATGACGTCATTCACATAAATACACAGAGAGGATTTAATATACACTTCTGGGAGGAGATGAACATTTTCTTTTCAAAGCACTCAGATTTCAGGGAGAGCTGCTATTGCCTGATACTATCAGATATCAAATACTGGAGGCATTCCCAAGCGTTCTTTTTTGCAAACAGTGCAGTCTGTGGCAGCCCCTCCTATGAGAAGTCAGAGAAAGATGCCAGTGTATTCTGTGCTTTGCTTAAAAGAACAAACATGTCATATCTTTTCTCCTTTCTCTTTCCTGTTACATCTTTTCCAAACAAAAAACACCTAGTACTGTCCCTGGCCAGGTGTGGGTGTGTGCTCGTACCACTGCGTCAAGTGCTTGAAAGTCACAGGAGAACCGTTCTTCCTTTAGGAAGGAAAGCAAGCAAGCAGGACACCGGTGTGTCAGAATCAGTTCGTGTAACTGAGGACCTGGGGAGGGGATAGGGCCTTGCATAGCTAGCACAATATGAAAGCACGGATGGTTTTACTTTACAACAGTATTTCTTCTCTATTAAGCTGTCGTGCAGTCCTGTAACGAATCCTTTCGCAAAAGGGTTGTCTATGTTTTCACTTCATGGTTGAAATCGGCTTCAGGAATCAAGTTCGCTGTACAACTAGTTTCAGCTGTGAGGACAGCCACCAGAGGGAACGCCCATAGAAAGTAATCAATGTGTTTCCTGCGTGGACACTCGAATTTGCAACCCGTCCTCTGTATCTTGTATCCTCAGTTGTTTCCACAATTCCGGGCACAGAGCAGCCCTTCAGAGGCTGGATAATCGATACGACAACGTGTGATAAGTTACTTCAAGCCTTCCTGCGCAGTGGGTCGACCCCGCCAAGTCTCCCCGCACCTCTGAGCCTTCGCGGGTGTAACTAGAAATAAAACATTCAGGTGTCAACACCACAGTAGGGTCTGTAAAGCTCCTGGGTTATGTCCACGGGGGCCAAGGGTCGGATCCGCATCAAAACTCAGCCACGTCGCAGCCTGCTCTCCTGGCTGTCCTTCCCGCAGCCCAAGCCAGCTGGTTACGTGGAAGCCGACCTTGCCCTGGACTGGGAGTACCGGCCCCGCCAGCTCGCCCCCGCGGTCCTCCGCCATCCCAGGCTCCCTTGCGCCCAGGACACGTCCGGCGGCTTCGAGGGGCCTTTCTACCCCACGGGCGGCCTCTCTATGATCCGCTGCCGCTTTTAGAGCGGGTGTCATGGCGGCCGGGGCCGGGGGGGGGGGGGGTTGTCACGGAAGGAGTTTATCACAGAGCTGGGGGAAGGTGCTGAAGCGGAGGAAGAAGTGGTCCCATCGGACGGTGGGAAGTCGCGGGAATGAGTGGAGGCCGTGAGGGCGTGTCGGTGGCACTAGCGGCGGGCCCCGCTAAAGTCCCAGGCCGAACCTCTGCGTTCTGAGGCAGAACCTGGCCGTTGGTGGGCGCCTCGGGCGGAGTTAACGAATCCCGAGTGTTGTGATTTGTCATAGTGTTGCCAGGGCAGGGGTTCCAGGGCGTTTGGCGGGGTCGGCCGGCGGCGCTGGACTCTCTTCTGGGGTCGTCTTCTCAACCCGCAGCGATGTCGTCCTGGTTTGGGGGCCTCGGCTCCGGCTTGAGCCAGTCTCTGGGTCAGGTCGGGGGCAGCCTGGCTTCCTTCACCGGACAGATTTCAGACTTCACCAAGGACATGCTGTTGGAGGGCACGGAGGAAGTGGAAGGTAACAGCTGGAGCGAGGGGAGGGAGGGCTTGCTTCCCACGTCGGTCCACCCGGAGACGCGGACGGGTCGCAGAGGACTTTGCTCGGTACCCCCCTTCTCCGGCACCTTCTCAGCCGTTTCTGTGCTTGCGGGACCACTGGGGTCGGGACCGGAGTTCGGCTCCCCTCGCTCTGAGTACTCGCCATATCAAGCAGAGCGAAACCGCCTCTGCGTTGAGTAGTGTTTATTTTGTGTGCTTCATCCCCGCCCGACACTTATTTTGCCCTCAGTTTGGGGGGCGGGTCTAACTTCGATCAGTCTTCCCTTATTTTGACCCAGTTTGAAAAATTGTGTATGGCAAATAGTCGCTTTTTTGTATCTATTTTTGTAACAATTGATATAACTCATAATTAAAAACATTTGGCGATTCTCTTATCCATTCTTGATTATGTTGTTAGTGAAACATGGGTATGTCTTTCTATTCTTGTATATTTTTTTCGTAATGACACATTGAGGCGTTCCAGCTGAAAATGTATTTTTGTGTATAAATACCCAGTTTCCCCCCACATTTCGTCAGTACAGCAATGATGATACCCTAGTCTTTGGGTATCCTGAGCAACCGTCACTCATTTTTTAACCACCCCCCCTTTCCCCTTTTTTTTTTTACTGGTTTGTAGTGGCACAGAGTTACATTTACCTGGTAATCAGTGGTTGATTACTGTTTTGAAATTTCTTTCAACAAGTGTCCTTTGGATCAAAAGAGTTTTTACATTCCCATCTAGGTCAGCCTCCAGGGAGATAATGACCTAGTCTTTGGGATGAGAACAGGTGGCTTATTAATCAGCATTCTGGTTTAATTTTTTAAATCATGATTTAACTGAGCCTTCATATTTATTTGGTTGAAATTGAGAAGGATGGTTGCTATAGAAAGAGATGTTTATGTTTAGAATTTCTGTGGGGTCTATTTGGACGGAAGATTGAAGAGCTGGTGAAATCCATTTTACTGCTCCTTCAAGTCTTTGTGGGTGAGGTCCATCAGGTGGTACAGGTTGGGGAATGGGAGTGAAAGGACTTCTTCCTGTGTCCAGGAAAAAGGTCATGGGACTTTGAAGTCAGAAGTAGAGAAGGGTTAGATAACTATGAGCAATGATTAGTCTTCCCTTGTATCCTAGAAAGGATGAAACAGAAAGGATGAAAACAGTTGGCTGTTCTGTTGATCCTAAGCCAGGAAATGTGCATCCCTCTGTGTGTCGCCTCTTGCAGAATTAAGGTGGAATTCATTTTTTTCCCACTGAATGATGCTCCTGCACTCTCAGTCTCAGTGCTTTCACTACCTACACGCTTTTCTAAACCAGAATTTTTCATGTCTCTGTTTTGTCTCTTTCATCTCCTTCTAGTTAGTCACTAAACCTTGTTCATCCTATGTGAGAATTGTCCTTTCCTTTATTACTCCTGCTTCCTTAGTTCAGATCCTCAGAATCTCTCCCAGGGACTGTTTCTCTTTCATGTACTGTCACCCAGTTTGCCCTACTCCAATCCATTTTCTGTTGTATTGGTAGTTACTTTTTCTTTTTTTGGAGAGGTTTTCGCTATAGGGCACGTGCGCTCGCCAGATAGACAGAGACAGACAGAGAGACAGAAAGCGAGAAATCACCCCCCAGAGGGGATGGTCATGCCGCAATCCCTTCTCCTCCATTCTCCTCTCAGGATCTTGGGCACGCACGCACATGCGCCCGGCGTGAGTTTAAGCCACCGGGTCCAGGACACGAACCGCGGTTGACTACGTGGGAGTCCAGCAACATAGCCATTACGCTAACTGCTGGTTCCCGGTAGTTACTTTTTCTAAAAACTAATTTTTTAAAAACATCTTAACTCTGTTACTGACAGGATAAAATCGAAACCTCTTAGTTTTGGAAGGCTAAGTAGCTATCTTGCCAGGTTTCAGCCTACCTTTTCTATTTGTTATACTGTCATATCTAAACATATGCAAACTTATGTACATATGTGTGCTTGTACCCAGAGCTTCTGTCATACAGAACTTTGTCAGATACGGTACCCACACAACTCCCTCTGCTTCCTCTCTCACCCTCATTTGCCTGGCAGACAGTTTCCTATGTGATCCTGCTCACATCTGTACTTGGTGAAACCATGCTGACTCTCACACAGGTTAAATTGGTTGCCATTGATCTCATTTCTAACAGAACTTTGTGAATCTCTTCATGACAACATTCACCACATTAAGTTATAATTTGTCTCTCCTTGAAGCTCAGGATTGTGACTCTTTTTTTTTGGTCCTTATGTTACCCATGTGTGGGATTGTCTTTGGTATGTAGTAGATAGTCAATAAAAATTGTACAAGTGGGAGATTAGAAATCTGCAAAGTTGTTTAATGCTTTCGCATTAATTGCATTCCCTTTGCATTGAAGTAGAACTTGCCTAACAATTTATAGATTTTGTAAATTACTAAAAAATAGTATCAGAATATAGTTCACTTATTTATTCAACAAGTATTTATTGAATATTTGCCCTGTACCAGCAATAAACACAAAATTTGCAAAGTAACACTGCTGGTATAACTTGAAAATCATTCATATTGGCTAAGGGCTCTGGACTCCCACATAGCCAGCTGCAGTTTGAGTCCCAGACTTGGAGGCTTGCTTTCTCACTTTCCCTCTCTTTTTCTCTCACTTTGTCCCTCTGGTCAAACTAAAATAAATAAATAAAGTTAATAAAATAATTCTTTTTTTTTAAGAAAGAAAATCATTCATGTTTATAATAGCAGAAGGTTGCTGTTTTACCAAACATTCTGATTTTTTTCAGGGTTGGGCTTTTAATTCAGATGAATATGGATGGAAATTTCATTTCTGTGCATTACAAATTGTGGGATCTTTGACAGATTATTAAATACTTAACCTCTAGTTAAGCAGTTTCCTTATCTGTTAATGAGGGATAATTGTACCTATCATGAGGTTGAAAGGATTAAATGAAATTATGATTGTAAAATTCCTAGAACTGTGTTTAGCAAATAGTAATTATTAGTAATTGGTAGATGTTATATTTTTCCTCATTGAGAAAGTCGGAGGTTTTTGTGTGTGTGTGTGTGTGTGTGTGTGTGTGTGATACCTCTCCTTTTCCTAAAAAGGCTTAGTGTGTGTGCGTGTGCATGTGTGTGTGTGTATTTTTGACTAGGGGTGGGCAGGTGCGGTACTCTAGATAAACCTTTTAAATCCCTCTTTGAAATAATTGATACATTGAACAGTTTAGCTTCCTAAACAGATTAGATTTTACTTTTAAATCCTTCTTTGAAATAATTGCTATATTAAACAGTTTGTCATCCTAAATTTATCTTCCTAACTGAGTAGCAATTAGATGTTCCTTACAGAGTTTTGAGCAAGATGTGCAAACACTGTAGACCCAAGCCTTCCTGGTGATTTTTAAGGCAAGAGGACTGTCTGTCACTGTTATGTTGTACATGCTGCTTTTATTTTCTCTTGGCTTAAAGTTAAGAAAGGTTGTCCTTATAATATTAAAGTGCTTGAGTAAGGAAGAGAATACTATTATAATAGTATCTAACTCTGTGAACGATGATTTTCAGACAGCACTGGTAGTGTCATTTTGTCACTAATCTCTGACATTGCTGATACATTGAAGAATACAAACCAGACCCAGCTCATTCCGATTTTAATCATATTGTGTCTGTGTTAATACATTTCTCTTAGCGTGTTTGGATTCTTTGTTTATAGGTAATTAATTCATAATATTGGAAACAGAAGTTAGAAATAAGGTATTAAATCCCAGGTGATTATGTTTAATCTAAAATGATAGCATACACCAGCAGAGTAGAATTTTAATGTGGCAAAACTTAATTTCCAACAATAACATTTTAATGACCACTTTTTTTTTTTGGAGAGGTTTTTGCTATAGGGTGGGTATGCTCACCAGGAAGACAGAGAGACACAGAGAGACAGAAAGTGAGAAATCACCCCCCATGGAGAATGGCCATGCTGCAATCCCTTTCCTCTATTTTCTTCTTGGGATCTTGGGCACGCATGCACATGCGCCGGGAGTGAATTTAAACCACCGGGTCTGGGACTCGAACCGTGGTCAACTACATGGGAGTCCAGCGACATAGACATTACATTAACTGCTGGTCCAAAATTTTAATGACCACTTCTAAGGGATAAAGGTAGGCATCCTCAGGTGTAGGAGAAATGCAAAAGGAATGACTATATGACAGTGAAGAACATTAGTGGCAATGGAATGTTGTAATGAAAATCAAGTGCTATATGTTTTCTCAGTTTGCCCTCATATCATCCCACCATTGTGTTCAAATTAAGTGAAATATATTTTTCATAAAATGTCTGTTTAGTATGTCTATTGATAAGATACTCAGTATATACTGTTTCTTTTGTAGCAGAATTACCTAATTCTATGAGAAAGGAAATTGAAGCCAATCATGCACTCTTAAGATCAGAGGTAAGGAAAATTAAAGACTACCATCAAACTTAGATTTTTCTTTTTGAATCCATGGAAGTTGTTAAAACTTTATTTCAGTCCCTCCTTTTTCTATTTCTTCTCACTTCTTGTTTATGTCAGTTTTTTGAGCCTTTATCAGCCTTCTTTGGATGAAGAATATGTTACTGCAGGTTGTACTCTTTAATAGTCCCATCAGTATTATTATTTGTTAAATTTGCTATAATGTGTATATGGTCGAGAAAGAGAGAGAGAGAGAGAGAGAGAGAGAGAGAGGTTTTAAGAAACTACCCTCCAGAAGGGATAGCCATGGCTTCCATCTGTATTTTTATATGCTGGAAGTCGGAAAACTGCCAAGTGTACAAATGATAGTGGCAACAAATTATCATTATCAAGGAGTTACTATGTTCTGACAGTGTGCCAGTGCATTTATTTGTGCAGTACATTTGTTTATTTATTTTGGAGAGGTTTTTGCTACAGGGTGCAGCACTCTCCAGAAAGACAGAGACAGAGAGACAGAAAGTGAGAAATCACACCCCAGGGGGGATGGCCATGCCACAATCCCTTCTCCTCCATTCTCCTCTTGGGATCTTGGGCACGCACGCACATGCACCCGGCGTGAGTTTAAGCCACTGGGTCTGGGACTCGAACTGTGGTCAACTACATGGGAGTCCAGCGACATAGCCATTACGCTAACTGCTGGTTCCAGTACCTTTGAGTTTAATATGAAGAGTGTAATTCTGCTTAAAGCTTTTTAATTCTCTAACGTTAAAATAATATTTGGATACAAAGAAGGTTAAAAATATAGGAACAGCATTTTCATTTTATCACTATAAGCGTCTTGGCATGACTAGTTCTACACCTTGTATTTAATAGGGATGAGGAAAGCTTGGAAAGGGTTCAAAGGAAAGCCATTAAGAAAATGAGAGGATTTGGGGCCAGCAGATGGTGTAGTGGTTACATTACTGCACTCCCATGTGGCCCACCGTGGTTCAAGTCCTGGACTCAGTGGCTTGAAAATCATGCCAGGCACGTGTGTGTGCGTGCCCAAGACTCCAGGAGGAGAAAGGAGGAAAAGGGATTGTGGTATGGCCTTCCCCCTACGGGGTGATTTCTCACATTCCCTGTCATTGTCTCTGTTTCCCTCTTGCAAGTGCACATGCCCTATGGCAAAAACTTATATTAAGAAAAAAAAAATGAAAGAATTTAAAAGTGGGATCTATTTGTAAAGGATCAAAGAAAGTTATTTAGCCATGGGATAAGAACAGGGAAGGGAACACTTAATAATATTATTTTAGCAAAAGATAATCTTGGAGTACCATGGTAAGCATCTTTGACTCTCTCCTAGTCCATAAAAAGGGAATATTGAGATTAGGTGTAAGAAAATATTTACTGCAAGCATTATTGAACTCTGGTCTAGATTATCAAGGTAAGATTGTAGAATTTGCAGGCCAGCAAGTGGTGTGAGGGTTAAGGCAGCTGGATCCCATATGGCTGACTGCAGTTTTGAGTTCTGGACTAGTAGCTTAAAAACCATTCTACCAAAAGACAGTTTAAATTCCACATGGCCAAGTGCACAGTTCAAATCCTGGACCCAATGACTTGAAAACATGCTGGGAACATGCATGCATGCCCAAGAATCCTGAGAGGAGAATGGAAGAGAAGGAAGGAAAAGGGCATGGCCATCCTCCCCTTGGGGGTGATTTCTCACTCCCTCTCCTTTCTCCTGCGAGTACAAGTACCCTTACTGAACCTAGGGGGCAAAAAAACAAAAACAAAGCTTGAGGGCCAGCTCTGTAGCTCAAGTAGTTGAGTGCTGAATAGAAGAAGCCAGATCCCACATGACTGATCAGGGTGCCAGTCTTAGCTATGGTAGGGTTGAAAAGAACACTGGGTGCCAAGTGCACGTGTGTTGAATTCTGATTGGATGGAGAATAGGAGGGAAGAGGATCGCAGTGTTGCCCATCTGTGTGCCCTCTGGTCTAAAAAAAAAGTTTATGAAAAAAGGGATTAAAAGATGAAAATGCAGGCCTGCAGGTGTCATGGTGTTTAAGACTCTGGATTCCCACGTGGTTGACTGTAGTTTGAGTCCCAGAACCATAGGCTTGAAAATCACACTGGGCACGTGGGGATGCATACCTAAAATCTCAAGGGGAAAAGGAGGAGAAGGAATTCTGGTGTGGCCATCCTCCCTGAGGAGAGTGACTTCTCACTTTCCCTCTCTTTGTGTCTCCAAAACCAACAGAAAGAACACATAATCTTTATTTGTCTGTATAAGCTCTGTCAAGTTTAAGGCACTTTTTTTTTTTTAAATGCTATGAGGCCAAAAATCGAAGCTTTATTATGGAATATTACATATATCATTATTAGTGTTATGAAGACATTTTTATGTAGTAACACTTTTCATTATGGCATCTTGTATGGTTCTAGACTATAATCAGGACATGTATACAAAGTGACACTTTGGTCCCTTAAGCCAGATACAGGTGAGGATGTCATACACATCATTAATGGACACTTCACACGTTGTCCCAGTGTTAGGGTCTCCGTTTATTCCAGTTGTTCTTCCTTTGGCAGATGGCTATTATGTTTGACTTCAGTACCATGTTGTGGATGCCAGAGAACTTGCATTTGCCAAGGAATAATCTCGTGAGATGCAATGTCATGAAGTAGAATAGTGTAGTCTAATTCAATAAAGTTGCCATTTCTTTGCACTTGCTTGACAGTTTGAATCTTTGCCATTTTATACCAGGTATTTTCTGTAGAATTCTGCCATATTATATAACCACAGGCAACCCAGGCTAAGTGTCGAACTGGCTTCATTTCTGGAGATACGTTTCCAAACTGTCTGGAATATTTTGTGCTTCTAGTGGTTCCTTCATGGACTTGAGTCTTTGATAAAATGTGTTATCTTCTTCATCTGGGTTCTTTCCAATTTCTCCTTCAAATGTAAAGTTGACTTCTGGTGCAGTAGCTTGGCCCACAGGAGGATAAAGTACTTTAGCTGTGCAGTTCACTGTAACTTGTTTTTGGATAATTTCTTCCATGGAAAATTTAAGGCGATACTTATGTCCTCTTCCCGGGACATCCTCTATGCTGGCTTGTTTGACCGTCTGCACCAGAAACACCTTGTGGGGGGGGTCCCCTGCTGGTAGTTAATGCAGTTCTCTGCCACCGATGCCACCCTGGAGGCTGGGAATTGATCTGGCGGGATTTCTATTCTCGGGGAGCATTGGCCGTGGGGTGCTCAGTCTTAGCAGTAGTCCTCTCGGTGCTGGCTCTGCGTACTGGGCATCTCGCACGCTGCAGGTGGCAAGTTTAAGGCACTTTTGTAAGCTGTGACACTAGCCATTTAATGCATCCTTAAAGAACTGAGGGTCCTGGGACCAGCAGTTAGCATAATGGCTATTGTCATTGGACTCCCATGTAGTCGACCACGGTTTGAGTCCTGGACCCGGTGGCTTAAACTCACACCAGGCGCGTGTGCGTGCGTGCCCAAGATCCCAAGAGGAGAAGGGATTGTGGCGTGGCCACCCCCACCCCACCACCCCAGGGGTGATTTCTTGCTTTCTGTCTCTCTGTCTTTCTCTCTTTCTGGTGAGCACATGTGCCATATAGTAAAAGAACCTCTCCAAAAAAAGAAGAAAAAAAAAAAAAGAACTGAGGGTCCTGGGAATTAAACTATGTTAATACAGTCTTTTTAAACTTTATTTAATGAAGAACAATGGGTATCCTTTAAATATTTTATAATATTAAGAAACATAAGTCAGACGGAGTTATATTAGTACTATAAGGTAGATGCCTAGTGATTTCCCATGGATCCTCTCAAAAAATTGCCTTTGTTGAGAGGAGTAAGTAAGAGCAGCATGGTAGAGAAAGCTTCTCTGGGCATTTTTCTGCTAAGGCTTCAGCTTTTTCAAAACACTCATAATAAGCAGATGTCGTTCTTTGAGCCTTGAGAAAAACAACAAGCAAAATACCTTATGCATCCCCAAAAACTGTAGATAATACATTTGCTCTTGTTGGTTCACTTTTGCTTTGACTGGCTCAGTTTCACCTGTTGGTAGCCATTGCTTTGGTTATGCTTTGTCTTCAGGACCATAATGGTAAAGCCATGTGTCATCTCCTGTTAAAATTCTTTGAAGAGGGGCCAGCAGAGGGCTTAGTGGTTATGTTGCTGGACTCCCACATGGGTGACCGTGGTTTGAGTCCTTGACCTGGTGGCTTGAAAATCATGCCAGGTACTATATGTGCGTGTGTGCCCAAAATCCTAGGAAGAGAATGGAGGAGGAGGGATTCTGGTGTGGCCACCCCAGGGGGGAAATCACCCACTTTCCCTCTCACTGTCTCTCTCTGGTGAGTGCACGCATACTATGACAAAAAAACTCTTAAAAAAAAAAAAAGTCTTTGAAGCAGTGCTTCAGGATTTGACTTTACTTGTTTAAAATTTTCATCGAAAGCTCTGCTCTTAGAGGCTACCTCTGTGCTCACTAATTAAGGGAGCTAGATCTCAAATTAACCACTGTTCGAATCTCAGCTCTGCTAGCTTGAAAAACACAATGGGTGTATATGCATGTGTGCCCCTAATCCCGGCAGGATGGGAAATGGATGAAAAGGAATTGTGGTGTAACCACATCCCTTTGTGGGGGTACTTTCTGCTCTCCCTCACTGTCTCTCTGTCTCTCTGTTTCTGGTAAGTGCAGGTACCCCCTGGCAATAAAAAAATCCAAAAAAACAAAATCTCTGCTTCTGTGTCAGATTTGGACAGAACAGTTTTGGTACCTATTGAGAAGGGTTGCTCATCTTTAATTTTTCTTTTCTTTTTTTTTTTTTTTTTTTGAGGATTTTTGCTATAGGGCGTGTGCACTCGCCAGACAGACAGAGAGAGACAGAGAGACAAAAGCGAGAAATCACCCCCCAGTGGGGATGGTCACGCCACAATCCCTTCTCCTCCATTCTCCTCTCGGGATCTTCGGCACGCATGCACATGTGCCCGGCGTGAGTTTAAGCCACTGGGTCCAGGACTCAAACTGCGTTCACCTACATGGGAGTCCAGCGACATAGCCATTATGCTCACTTCTGGTCCCTCAGCTTTAATTTTTCTAATAGAATTGTGTAAGCTAAACCAGTCAAGGTGGTTATGGTCTTGGGTACTGTTTCTGCTCTTGATCCTTGGTCATGTTCAGTGAAGGAATAAGCAAAATGATTTTTTTCCTCACAAATTAATGTAGTTGATGTCTTCAACATCATTTTGCCCCCTTTTAAAACAAATGATCTGTTTGTAAACTGCTGATTTATTTTGACAATTGTCCCCATAAATTTTTTGTAAAATCAGTGATTTTACCATTTTCACCCAGGCTTCACTATACATTTGATGTTTGTTCTTCAATTTTAGCAGAAATTGTGTTGCCTTGAAAGAGGCTCTTTTTAAAGTGACAGTCTTTTTTTTTAATACATTTATTTAATTTTTATCTATTTTCTTGTGATTTTTAAGCTGCTGGGTCTGCTCTCCCTCACTGTCACCATTGAACAAAAACCTCTCCAAAAAAAAGGAAAAAAAAAAAAAAAAAGGGATTGCTATGTGGCTGTCCCCTTTGGAGGGTGATTTCTCACTTTCCATCTCTCTTTCTCTCTTGTGGGCACATGTGTCCTGTAACAAAAACCTGAAAATAAATAGTTTGACTGTTCAGAGAGAAAACAAAAGCCCAGACGTGTAATCCATTCATTAACTACACATGTATTGCTTACTATAAGCTAGACACTTGATAAAAAGATGGGGGAAACATTGGTCATAGCTAATTTTTTTTTTTTTTTTTTGAGTTTGGTTTCTTTGTTTTTGTTTTTGGAGAGGTTTTTGCTTTAGGGCACATGCACTCGCCAGAAAGACAGAGAGAGAGAGACAGAGAGAAAAAGCAAGAAATCACCCCCTACGGGGATGGCCACACTGCAATCACTTCTCCTCCATTCTCCTCTCGGGATCTTGGGCACGCACGCACACGCGCCTGGCATGAGTTTAAGCCACTGGGTCTGGAACTCGAACCGCGATTGGCTACATGGGAGTTCAGCGACATAGCCATTATGCTAACTGCTGGTCCTGATCATAGCTATTTTTTAGCAGAAAGTCAAACTCAGCAAAATGTTACTCTTTTTTTAGAATTACGCAAGCTTTATGTAAATGTGCTTAATGCATTTGTAACTTGAATTTGAAAATCTGTTTTAAATGAATAAATATCTCAGAATCTCAGAATGCTGAGATATTTGATTTTCACATCATTTTTTGTATGAAGCAGTATGTCTTATATGCTATGCACATGACTGTTACTAACGTTTTATTTGCGGTCTTTTGTTGCAATTACTTTTTCCTTTGCTTTTAGAATGAAAGACTTAGAAAACTTTGTACTGATCTAGAAGAGAAGCATGAAGCATCAGAACTTCAAATAAAGCACCAATCTACAAGTTACCGAAATCAACTACAACAGAAAGAGGTAAAGATGTTACACTTATTTATTATTTATTTCACTGTGTTGTATTAGGAAGGTTTTTAAGAGTTATAAAATAAATCAAGCTATATTCAGATCCACAAGAGTATTGAAAGGGTGTTGAATTTAATAATTCCCAGCTCAGATTGGTATCACTGATTTTTGTTTTTTGCTGTAGGGTGTGTGTACTTGCCAGAAAGAGAGAGACAGAGAGATAAAAAGTGAGAAATCACCCCCCAGGAGGGATGGCCACGCCGCGATCCCTTCTCCTCCATTCTCCTCTTGGGATCTTGGGCATACATGCACGTGCGTCTGGCATGAGTTTAAGCCACTAGGTCCAGGACTCGAACCATGGTTGACTACATGGGAGTCCAGCGACATAGCCATTATGCTAATTGCTGGTCCTGGTATCACTGATTTTAAAATAACTTTGTAAGCGTTTCTATTAAGTGTAGTCATATAAACTAATCTTTGTAAAGTTTACTTCTTACTTTTTAAAAAAAAAAATATGTGATTTTATTTATTATTTTTTAATTTGACCAGAGACAGACAGGGAGAAGAGGGAGTAAATGAGAAAGCAAGCCACCAGGTCCAGGACTCAAACTATCACTGGCCATGTGGGAATCCAGCACCTTAACCACCATTCCACCTGCCAGCCCCTAATTTTATTTTCTAAAAGATAAAAAGTTTCTCTATAAAATATCTTCAGGCATTCGCTGCTTATAATTTCTGTGTGTTGTTTTTTTTTTTTATCAAACTAGAATATTTTTTTTAAAAAAAGAATTATTTATTTAAATCAATTTGTTGTTGTTGTTTTAACTTGACCAGACAGAGACAGAGGGAGAGAGAAAAGGAAAGCAAGAAAGCAAGCTGCCGGGTCTGGGACTTGAACCGTGGTCAGCAATGTGGTAATTCGGCCCCTTTAACCACCATGCCACGCCACCTGCTGGCTCCTAAAATATGCTTTGAATTGGTGTGGTCATTGCTAAAGACTTCTTTTTTTTCTTTCTTTGTTTTTTTTTTTTTTTTTGTTTTTTTTTTGAGAGATGTTTGCTATAGGGCAAGTGTGCTTGCTAGGGAGATAGAGAGACAGAAAGTGAGAGATTACCCCCTAAGGGGATAGCCATGCTGCAATCCCTTCTAGTTCATTCTCCTCTTTGGATTTGGGGCACACATGCACATATGCCCGGAATGAGTTTAAATGCCGAGTCTGGGACTCGAACTGTGGTTGACTACATGGGATTCAAGCATTGTAACCGTTATGCCATCTACTGGTCCCATGACATTGTCTTTTAAAAAATACTTCTGACTACAAATGTTAATATTTATTGTACTGGGATATATTTCATTTTCCATTGAAAACCAATATTATATTTATTATAATTAACTTACACCATTTTATAAAAGTTCTTGATTTCTTAAAGTTTAATTGAAATAGTTGTTTTAGAATAGACTTTTCCTTGCTTTGCTGGTTATAGATATTATGTGATTTTTACCAATGTTATCCTGAATGTTCAAATATATGCTCTGTTCACATGTATTACACTATTATTGAATTCTCTTTGGTGTTTAGTTCATAAATGGTGTCCAATAAATATTTACATGGAATTGAACTATTTCCTGTTTTTTCAATCCAGATCTTTTCAGTGTTCTTTAATTTGTTGATTAAATGCTTATTTCTCTTATGACTTTATATTTGGGTTTTTAAAATTTAGATGCATTGGGCCAGCTGGTGGCATGGTGGATAACGTGGCTGGATCCCACATAGCAAACTATGCAGTTTGAGTCCTGGACCTGGCAGTTTGAAAAATGCACCAGCACACATGCATGTGCATGTGCGCTCAGAATCCGGAAAGACTTAGAGAAGGGATTGAGGTGTGAACATCTCCCATGGGAAATACTTTCTCACTTTTCCTCTCTCTCCCTCTCTCAGTGTGTGTCTCCAGCAAGTACATGTGCCTTTTGGCAAGTTAAAAAAAGTTAATTAGCTCTTTCAGTGACATTCTAGAGGGAAAAGTAAAAGCATATCACATCTAAAATAAAAATTCAAGGGGCCAGCAGGTGGTATGGTGGTTAAGGGTGCCATACTCCCACATGGCTGACTGCGGTTTGAATCCCAGAACTAGCAACTTGTTTTCTGACTGTCCCTCTCTCTCTCTTTCTCACTCTGTCCCTCTCTGGCCAAATAAAATAAATAAGTAAAATTAAGTAATTCTTAAAAAAAATTAATATAAAACTTAAATTTTCAATCTTATGAGTTGATAATTTTATAAAGTAAAAATGAATTACTACAAAAATAAAACGAATACAGAAAGCAAAGTTACTAGTTCAAATTATAAACCCACTTCCTTCTTTTTTTAAAGATTCAGAAGATAGGGACCAACATGTGTTGTAATGGTTAGATCACTGGATCTCACGTAGTCGATTTGCAGTTTGAGTCCTGGGCTTGGTGACTTAAAACTCATGCCAGGAGCATATGTGTGTGTGCCCAAGATCTTGAGAGGAGAATGGAGGAGAAGAGATTGTGGCATGGCCATAATCACCCTATGGGGGGTGATTTCTCACTTTTTGTCTCTCTCTCTTTGGTGAGCACATGCACCCTATATATCTCTCTAAAAAGAAAAAAAGATTCAGAACATATATAAAAGTAGTGTCAAATTGCTTTAACAGTCTTCAGGTTTTACTCTTTAAATTTCTGTACTCATCAGGAACTGATAATGAGCATTTGTGCCATTAGTCAGTGGACCAAGCTTTGAGTAGCACTGACTTTTAGACATTGTGATCTAACAGTGGCTCCTACACAGGGGCATACAGCTGAATCAGTAGTGACACTTTTAAAAATACAAATTTACCCTTCACAGAATGTTCTAATTTAATGTTCCTTGAAAGGGCCCTGGTATTGATCATTTTTAAAAGCTCCATAAGTGATTCTTTTTTATTTTTAAAGAATTATTTAATTTTATTTATTATTGTTATTATTTAACTTGACCCGAGAGAGACAGAGAGAGAGGGAAAGTGAGAAAGCAAGATGCCAGACACAGGACTCAAACCTCAGTTGGTCACATGAGAGTCTAGTGCCTCAACCACTATGCCACCTGCTGGCTCCTCCATAGGTGATTCTGATGCTTACCCCACAGTTGAAAACACTACTGTGGGGAACCAGCAGTTAGCGTAATGGCTATGTCGCTGGACTCCCACGTAGTCAACCGCGGTTCGTGTCCCGGACCCGGTGGCTTAAAACTCACGCCGGTCACGTGTGCGTGCGTGCCCAAGATCCTGAGAGGAGAATGGAGGAGAAGGGATTGCGGTGTGACCATCCCCCCGGGGGGTGATTTCTCGCTTTCTGTCTCTATGTCTCTCTCTGTCTGTCTGGCAAGCGCACGCGCCCTACAGTGAAAATCTCTCCAAAAAAAAAAAAAAAACACTACTGTGGAAAATTTGGCATTTTATTTTTTACTTAACTATTGATATTAGAGGCACATCAAGTTTGGAAATGTCTCAGTTATTATTAGAGATTGTACTATATCACAATTTGGTATAAATGTCTATTGCATCGCCAGGCACGTGACCATGCGTGCCAAGATCCTGAGAGCAGAATGGAGAGAAGTGATTGCGGCGTGGCCATCCCCCGTGGGGGGTGATTTCTCGCTTTCTATCTCTCTGTCTGTCTCTGTCTGTCTGGCGAGCACACGTGCCCTATAGCAAAAACCTCTCCAAAAAAAAAAAAATGTCTATTGTCTATTGCATAACAACAACATTTAAAAAAATCTTTAAAAACTAACTTCCTTCCTTTCTGACTTCCTTCTTTCCTCCCATCCCTCTCTCCCTCACTCTCTTCCTCCTTCTTTCCCTCCCTCCGAGAGAAGGACTGAAAGGGGGAAAGTGAGGAAGCAAGTCGTCATGTTCAGAACTTGAACCCTGGTCAGCTGTGTGGGAGTCCCAACACCCTTAACCACCACGCCACCTGTCGGCCCCTTTTTTTTAATTTTTAGAGAGAGATTTTTGCTGTAGGCCCATGTGCTCACTAGAGAGACAGAGACAGAAAGTGAGATATCACCCCCTAAGGGGAATGGCCACACTGCAATCCCTTCTCCATTCTTCTCTTGGGCTTTTGGGCATGCACTCACACACACGCCCTGTGTGAGTTTTAAGCCGCTGGGTCTGGTACTCAAATCACAGTCGACTATGTGGGAGTCCAGCGACTTAACCATTATGCCATTTGCTCATCCTAACAACTTTTTTTGGCATTATAACTAAATCTGAAAAAAAAAATGAGTTTTCAGTACTTTTTACTAGAATGAGCTATTTTCTGAATCTATTTGCTGCTTTCACTGTGATGTTCATATTCCCCAGAGATGCAATTTATCTCATGTCATTTGTGAGAAAATGATAGAAATTTGTACACTAATATAAATTTCCACTGGAGAAGGGGCTCTAATATGAAAAACCTTTGTTGTATAACATGTTTGTTTTTGTTTGTCTAATTGTTTAACTTTACACATGTAGAAATCCTAATACTTGTTGGCTATCTCTCTAATATTAAATTTCCTTAATTGTAGTAGAGGGTCTTCTGGGTCTAGTGTCAGTACTTTACAGAAAGCTTATTTCAGTTTTGAGTTACTCACTTTGTGTTTTGAGTAATCTTTCACCCAGAATGGATTCGGTGCAGTGGTAGATCCTGTGTTCTTTTGAGGTGTGACTTCATATTCCCAACCTTCAGTTGAAACTCTACTCAGGGGACCAGCAGATAGCATAATGGCGATGTTCCTGGACTCCCATGTGGTCGACCGCGGTTCGAGTCCTGAACCCGGTGGCTTAAACTCGTGCTAGGTGCGTGTGCGTGCGTGCCCAAGATCCTGAGAGGAGAATGGAGGAGTAGAGATTGTGGTGTGGCCATCCCCCCCAGGGATGATTTCTCGCTTTCTGTCTCTCTGGTGAGTGCACGCACCCTAGAGCAAAAACCTCTCAAAAAAAAAAAAAAAAGGTTCTTGAGAGAGATAGAGGGAGGGAGAGAAGGAGCTCAGGATCTCACTAAGCCACAGTCCCACTTCCCTACTGCTCTCCAGCCAATCAGAATCATGGGTGCATTCGTGGCTGTATCTTTCATGTTCAGGTCAACCTGGAATCCAAACCTGGGCCTCCTATATGGCTCCAGCCTCTACCCATTGCTCATTGCCACTGCAGCTGGGCTCATGTTGTTATTTTTTTTTTTAATAAAAAGTATTATGATTAAGATGTTAGGGAAGTCTTGGGTTCAGTTAATAGAGTACTACCATTGGATAATCTTAAGACAGAGTAAACCTTTTAATATTACATATCTGTGAAAAGGTCATTATTTTTCTTTTAACCTTCTCCAAAACATGGATTATAAATATATAGGTAGAAATCAGCCACCTTAAAGCAAGACAGATTGCTCTACAGGATCAGTTGCTGAAACTACAGTCAGCCACTCAGTCAGTACATTTGGGAACTGGCGGCCTACCAGTAACGACAGCATCTTCTTCATTCGGCTATGGGACCAGTCATCATGCTTCAGCTTTCCATGATGATGACATGGACTTTGGGGACATCATTTCATCACAACAGGAAATAAACAGATTGTCAAATGAAGTTTCAAGACTTGAGTCTGAAGTTGGCCATTGGAGGCATATTGCTCAGGTAGGTAAAAATTTTCATGGATTTTGAAAACTAAAAATGAATAAAGGTAGTTCTGAATAGGAAGGCATGTGTAGAGTCTTTTGATAGTAGGAAGAATCCCGACTTGGAAATAAAATTCTAACTCTGATTCTGCCAGAGATTTTCTGAGTAATTCAGGTCAGATTGTTTTTCTCTCTCAGCCTTAGTTTCCCCTTCTGTATAATATGTGGGAAAATTGTTTTAGAGAAACTTAAAGCAGCAGATCCATTTTATATAAAATAAAGAGTTCTAAGTCCAGGACTCAAAACAGGCAAAACCGAGTTGCCGTACTTGAACCAGCACCTTTTCCCCTGGAGTTTCTGAGTCTGGTGGAAATGCCAGGGCTCCAGGATACCATATTTGAAACCACTTACTGTTGTGGACTGGATTTTTTTTCTTTTTTTTTAAGATTCATGGCTTGGAGTTATAATCTATCTGGAAAATGTCCCCCTTGAAAAATACCCTTTTTTATTTCCTTGTACTGCCTGAGACATGTGCACTTGACAGAGAGGTGGAGAGAAAGAACATCTCCAGTGGTGTGTTGTCAAGCTGCAGTCTTCCACACTTCTTCATCCTATCGTGATTTTGGACACGCTTGCACATATTCCAGGTGTGTTCCCCAGCCAGCAGGGCCAGGATTTGAACTGTGGTCGACCACGTGAGATTAAGTTTCTTATGCACATTGTTTAACCCATTGTGCTACAAGGCCAGTTGCAAGGTTGTTTTTTAATTCTTTTTATTTTTTGAGAGATTTTTGCATGTGCACTCGCCAGAGAGACAGAAACAGAAAGCGAGAAACTACCCCCAGGGGGAATGGCAACATTGCAATCCCTTCTTCATCCTTTTGGACATGCACACACACATGCCCAGAGTGAGTTTTAAGATGCCAGGCCCAGGACTTGAACTGTAGTCAGCCATGTGGGAATCCAGCGCCTTAATCACTATGCCACCTGCTGACCCCCCTGTAAAGTATTTTTTAATTCAGTTAGTTTGTGACTCTTTTTTTTTTTTTTTAAGTCACTTAAGGGACCAGCAGATGGCATAATGGTTATGTCGCTGGACTCCCACTTGGTTTGAGTCCCAGACCTAGCAGCTTAATACTCACATAGGGTATGTGTGTGTGTCTGTGTGTGTGTGTGTGTGTGCCCAAAATCCCAAGAAGAGAATGGAGGAGAAGGGGTTGTGACATAGCTGTCCCCGGGTGATTTCTTGCTTTCCATTGCTTTGTCTGTCTCTTTCTCACCAGGAAGCATGTGTGCCCTATAGCAAAAACCTCTCTCTAAAAAAAAAAAAAAAAAAAAAAAAAATTTAATTATTTTCTCATTCTCTTTTTCTGATCTAGACTTCCAAAGTGCAAGGAACAGATAGCTCTGATCAAAGTGAAATCTGCAAACTGCAAAATATCATTAAGGTAAGTCAGATTGTTAATTGACAGTGTCTATTATACATCTGAAATCTGCTTATTAAGTGCATAAACCTAAATTAATAAAAGTGTTCATTATAAAAGCCATTACATATATTATTCGTTTCTTTTTTTTCTTTTACCTTTTTTTTTTTTTTTAGCATTTTTGCTATAGGGCAAGTATGCTTGAGGTGGGGTGAGGGAATGAGAACTCACCCCCTTCCCTTACCTTCCTGGGGGGATGGCCATATTGTAATTCCTTCTCCATTCTACTCTTGAGATCTGGGGCACACATGTACATACGCCCGGCATGACTTTCAAGCCACCAGGTCTGGGACTTGAACTGTGTAGTTGGCTATGTTGGATCCAGCTCCTTAACCTCTGTGCCACCTACTGGCCTGATTTCTTTTTTTAAAGATTTATTTATTATCATTATTTTTCTTTTCTACAGCATTGTTAAATTTAATTAAATTTATTTATTTACTTTAATTTGACTAGAGAGGGATAGAGTAAGAGAGAAAAAGCAAGAAAGCAAGCTACCGGGTCTGGGACTCGATCTGTGGTTGGTCATGTGGGAGTCTAGCGCCCTCAACCACTATGCCACCTGCCAGCCCCTTATTATCATTATATTTCAATTTTGACCAGAGAGAGACAGAGAGAGCATGAGCAACTGCCAGATCTGGGACTTAAACCATAGCTGGCATGTGTGAATCTAGTACCTTTAACCACTATGCCACCTGCTGGCCCTTGTTTTTTACTCTTTTATATTTGTTTTATTCTTTATGACAAGTTTAGAAAAATAGCTCTCCAAAAAAAAAAAAAAAGCTCTCCAAAATCATTTGTTCTTGGACATTTATTTGGTAGTTCTATTTCATTAATGGTCTACATTCTGATATAAAACTATCTTTATTAAAACAGAATTTCAAGGTTTAGAGTTAAAGGACTTTGATACAATAAAATGTTAAGTTATTCATTGTAAATAGTAATTATTTATTTATTTAAATAATTATTTTTTATTATTTCATTTATTCATTCATTTATTTTCATTTGACCAGAGAAAGACAGACACACAGAGAGAAGGAAAGGGAGAAAGGAAGCCACCAGGTCCAGGACTGGAACCATGGTCGACATGTGAGAGTGTCTAGCATCCTAATTAGCATTCCACCTGCTGGCCTGTAAATAATAACTTTCTAAAAAATTATTTATTAATTTATTATTATTTTAATCTGACCAGAGAGAGAGAGAAAAAGACCCAGAGAGAGACAGGCAAAGTGAGAAAGCAAACCTCCAGGTCCAGAACTTGAACTGTGGTTGGCCATGTGGGAGTCCAGTGCCTTAACCAGCATGCCACCTGCTGGCCCCTTTAAATAATAATTGCACTTTAAAAACATGAAGTTTTACTGATCTGTTTCAGTTCAAGAAAACTTGTATTTATGTACATTTATTGCAGCCTTTTATTTTAGTATTTAAATTATCAAATATTGAATTTTAAGTTTTATTATTACAATAATGCTAGTATTGGCAGGTTCCAAAGTCCTGTGTAGAGTTTCTTTTTGTTTTTAAAGAGAGTGCTTTCACTTTCTAGAGCGAGACTATAGTGAGAGAGGGAGTGAGAATGCACTCCCAAGTGGCATAATCATACTATAATCCTTTCTCCTTCATCTCTTTTTCTTTTCAGGAATTTGGACATTCATGCACTTGTGCCTGGCATATTTTTCAAGCCACTGGTTCCGGGACTCAAACTGTATAGTCAGCCATGTGGGATCCAGCCACCTTAATCACCAGGCCATGGACTGGCCCCAGAGTCTTGTGTTTATTCCTGGCTACACTATTTACTCACTATGCTACTTTGGGGAAGTTATTTAATCTTTCCAGACTTCTGTTTTTACTAGTATGGACTTTGAAACAGCAGGGAAAGAAATAGCTTAGGTAAAATGTGTTGATCATGAATTTGGTTAACTTTGTTTTTATTTTTTAAAGGAACTTAAACAGAATCTGAGTCAGGAAATTGATGACCATCAACATGAAATGTCAGTATTGCAGAATGCACATCAACAAAAATTGACAGAAATAAGTCGTCGGCATCGAGAGGAATTAAGTGACTATGAAGAACGAATTGAAGAACTTGAAAATCTGTTACAACAAAGTAATTAGTTTTTTTTAAGTTAACATATTAGATGATGTAATTTAATGTCAACCTATTACTTTAAGACCAGGACCCTGGTGTAAACTTGGACTAAGTTATAAAGAAGAAGAGACTAATTTTGCTCATTTGCTAGAAATTTGCAGTAGTACCCCTTTAAAAGATTCTGTAAAAATGGAAAAATCCTTTTGTCTGTGGTAATATTTATAGTCTATAAATTTCTTTGCATTATTTGGTGATAAAACTTGGGTAAGAAATTATCAGAAGTATTTTCCCTTTCTTTCAACCTCTTACAGATTTTATAGTAGTTGATTCAAATAGTAGCTTTCCCTATTTATTGTTTAAAAATGTTTCATGTATTATAGTAATTTAACTTTTTAAAAACATTTTATTCATTGTCATTATTTATTTATTTATTTATTTTTTGAAGTTGATCAGAGAGAAACAGAGAGAGAGAAGGAAAGTGAGAAAGCAAGCTGCCAGGTCTGGAACTCAAATCATGGTCAGCCATGTGAGAGAGTCCAGCAGCCTTAACCACCATGCCACCTGTTGGCTCTAACTTTTCTTATTAAGCTATCCAAGTTCTGGACGCTCTTAAATCTTAGTTGTTTGTAGAAAGCTGTTTATTTCTTAATACTTGACATTTTGATGACCTTGATTTTATGTTTATGTTCTAGGTGACTCAGAAGTAGCTGATCGCTCTAAAATGTATGAGATGCAAAAAACCATTCAAGTTCTACAAACAGAAAAAGTAGAGGCTACAAAAAAACTGGAAGAACTTGAGGACAAAATAAAAGACATAAATAAAAAATTATCTCTTGCAGAAAATGACAGAGATGTTTTGAGAAAAGAGCAAGAACAACTAAATGAGGAAAAGAGACAAATAACTGAAGAATGTGAAAGGTTGAAATTGGAATGTAGTACATTGCATCTGAATGCTCTGGAGCAGAGTGATACTCTAAGAGAAAAGGAAGGAATTCTTCCACACAGTACATCAGTGGAAGAAGTGTTGAGACTACAGCAAGCACTGTCTGGTATAAAATGTTTGGAACTTATTTTGGATTGGTGTTTCATTGGATACTAGTTATTTTTAGAGACAAACACTTGAATAATTGAATTTTGTGGAAATGGAGTATTCTTTGAAATGTCTGTGTGTAATTTGAGTAGAATTGCTTGGCTTCAGGACATAGTTAAAAGGTTGCAAATAGGAATTTTCCACTCAGAAGGCTGAATATTGGCTATATGTATCTTAACCTTCTTATCATTTAAGTATTTACATAGTATTTATTGACTTAGGAGGCCATGAAGATTTCTGAGAAATATTTACTTACATAGACATTGTTGGGAGAGAGGGGCTTACGGGTTTATCTCTCTTAAATCTGTATAGAACTAAATACTTTCTGTAATTCATCAGGGCCCAGACCTTTAAAAAAATACATATTATTTTATTTAACTTTATTTATTTATTTAAATTTGACCCGGGGTGGGGGTAGGGAGAAGAGAAAGCTGCCAGGTCCTGGACTCAAACCGCAGTTGGCCATGTGGGAGTCCAGTGCCCTTAATCACCACGCCTCCTGCTGGCCCCAGGGCCCAGACCTTCTAATTAGAGAATGCAGTCAACCTTCTTAAAAAATCTGTTGTTACTTGTTGAAAAGATCTCCTGTATCGAAGCAAAGGCTTAAGTGATAAAAGCCATAAGTTTTTTATTGTTTTCCATGCTCAAGATAATGCTTAGTTACTATTCTTTGTTATAAAATACAAGTATTAAATGAAATGGACCAAACACTAGTATTCATTCAAGCCTGGAAAACAGAGTAAGAGCTCTTTAGCTGAAGAGATGCCTTTTACTCTGCACTTTTGTCTTCTTCTCACAGTATAAACTCTCACCTTGTGAACTCGTTTACTCCTGATCTGGAGCTTTCCAGCTCTTGTGTGCTTGTGACCCCTACATTTATATCCCTTGCCCAGTTGTTGACCATCACTTCCTGATCTGGCCAGCACTCCATACCTCACATGAATTTTCAAGTTAAAGTTAGTTTCAAAGTCAGTCATGTCCTCTTCCCCCTCTTCCTTTCCCTATGTTGGTGATTAGCAGTATATACCAGTCTTCCAGAACAGAAAGGTAGCCATCACCTAGCAGGTTCTGTAGGTAGTGTTTCCTTAGCTTCTCTCTGATTCAGTGATCCTTCAGGATTGTACCCTATAGGAGCTCGCAGTGTTTCTCAGGCATCTCAGCCCTGGGAACTACTGTGCAGGGGCAGGGAAGGTAGTGCAGAGGAGGTCTTGACTTCTCACTTGGCTTCAGTTGGAATAGCTTTGCTCTTTTAAAAGTAAACTTATTTATTGGGACCAGCAGATGGTGTAGCAGTTATGTTGCTGGACTCCTACATGGCCAACCGTGGTTCAGGTCCTATAGCCAGTAGCTTCAGAATCATGCCAGGCATGTAAGTGTGTGCCCAAGATCCTCAGAGGAGAAGGGATTGCAGCGTGGGCATCTCTGGCAGATGATTTCTCACTTTCTCTCTCACTGTGTCTGTCTCTCCAATGAGCGCACATGCCCTAAGGCAAAAAACCTCTTTAAAAAATAAAATAAACTTATCACATTAGGCAAGCGATACAGTTTATTTGCTCAAAAGACATATCTATGGGACCAGCAGATAGTGTAATGGTTACATCGCTGGACTCCCACATGACTGACTGTAGTTCGAATCCTGGACGTGGTAGCTTGAAACTGATGTCAGGTGTGTGTGTGTGTGCTTGCCCCGAATCCCAAGACGAGAATGGAGGAGAAGGGATTGTGGCACAGCCCTCCCCCAGGGGGGAATTTCTTGCTTTCTGTCTGTCTCTGTTTCTCGTGAGTGCACAGGTCCTATAGCAAAAGTCTATTTCTTTTGAGTGGTTTTTGCTATAGGGCGCGTGCGCTTGCCATAAAGACAGAGACAGACAGAAAGTGAGAAATCACCCCCCAGGGAGGATGGCCAAGCCGCAATCCCTTCTCTTCCATTCTCCTCTCAGGATCTTGGGCACACATGCACATGTGCTTGGAGTGAGTTAAAGCCACTGGGTCCAGGACTTGAACTGCAGTTGACTACATGGGAGTCCAGCGATATAACTATTACACCAACTGCTGGTCCCCAAAAATCTATTTCTTTAAAAAAAAAAAAAAAAAAGCCTTCTTCCCTAGTCATCCTCACCCCCCTTTTTGGGAGAGGTTTTTGCTGTATGGTGCGTGCGCTCTCCTGATTGACAGAGACAAGAGAGACAGAAAGTGAGAAATCCCCCCCCAGGGAGGATGGCCAAGCCGCAATCCCTTCTCTTCCATTCTCCTCTCAGGATCTTGGGCACACATGCACATGGCATGAGTTTAAGCCACCGGGTCTGAAACTTGAGAAACAGCAGTTGACTGCATGGGAGTCCAGCGACATAGCCATTATGCCAACTGCTGGTCCCCTTTCTCTTTTTTCTATTTCATTGCTACAGAATATTTTAGCCAATTATATTGGGTCGTGACGTATTTTTGTGTTTTTTTTTTAATGCAGTAAATAAAGGTGCCATGACTCTGATGACCCAGTAATTGCTTTTTGCTTATGTTAGCTGTAGCAGATCTCTTATTGGAGTAGACTAGCATAGAAGCTATGAACATGACTGAGTTGGAATCCAACTCTGTCACTAACTAGCTGACCTTGGGCTAGTGGGTTAATATCTTTATACTTTAGTGTTTTGTTTTGTTTAGGTTTTTGCCGAAGAGCGTGTGCATTCGCCTGAGAGAGACAGAGAGGGAAAGTGAGAAAATACCCCCCATGAAGTTGGCCCTGTTGCAGTTCCCTCTCCTCCATTTTCCTCTCTGGCAGTTTGGGCATGCACAAATATGCACCTGACATTATTAAGCTGCTGGGTCTGGGACCCAAACTCTGGAACCTGCCATGTGGAGTCTAATATCTTAACCACCACACCACCTGCTGGCCCTGTTTTTTTGTTTTTAAGGCACACATATATGCCATAGAGCATGTGCACTAGCCAGAGAGAGAGAGAGAGAGAGAGAGAGAGAAGAGAGGGAAAGTGAGAAACAACCCCATAAAAGGGATCACCCCCTAGAGGGGATGGCCATGCCATAGCCCCCCTCTCCATTCTCCTGGGATCTTGGGCACACACCACGCACATGTGCCTGGTGCGAGTTTGAAGCTACCAGGTCCAGGACTCGAACCTTGGGTCATGTGGGAGTCCAGCGATGTAATCACTATGCCATCTGCTGATCCCTAAGAATAGTTTATTTAAACATTTACTCATAATAGTGTATATACACATGATAGACAGAGAAGTACCCTCCAAGTGGTCATAAGTGCAGTCCTGTTCCCCCAACCTGTTGGATCTTAGACACTTGCACACATGCCTGAAATTTTTTCAGGCTGACTGGCCTGAGGATTTAAATTGTGGTTGCCATGTGGAACCCATCTTCCTTCCTTCCTTCCTTCCTTCCTTCCTTCCTTCCTTCCTTCCTTCCTATCTATCTATCTATCTATCTATTTATTTATTTAGGGCACGTTTTTGCTATAGGGCGTGTGTGCTCACAAGAAAGGCAGAGAGAGACAGAAAGCAAGAAATCACCCCCTAGAGGATGGCCACACCATAATCCCTTCTCCATTCTCCCCTTGGGATCTTGGGCACACACGCATACGCTCCTGTTGTGAGTTTAAGCCACCAGGTCTGGGACTTGAACCGTGGTCGACTACATGGGAGTCCAATGACATAGCCATTATGCCAACTGTTGGCTTTAAAGTAGTGCCTTACCACTGAACTACAGGCTCTATTCTTTGTTTTTCTAATTTATAGAGTTGGGAGAATAATAGTAACTTCTTGTAGCTGTTTTAGTAATAAGGATTATATAATTTATTAGCTACCAAGTTATCTTTAGAACATTGTCTGGCCTAGAGTTACTGCTATAAAAGTGTTAGATGGGGGCCAGCAGGTGGTATGGTGGTTGAGGGGTTTGACTCCCATATGGGTAAGTGCAGTTCAAGTCCTGGACCCAGAGGCTTGAAAATCACGCCCAGCATGTGTATGTGCATGTCCAAAATCCTGAAAGGAGAATGGGAAAGAAGGGATTGTGGTGTGGCTATCTCCCCTGGGTGTGATTTCTGATTTTCTCTGTGTCCCTCTCTCTCTGGTGAGCACACATGCCCTATAGCAGAAATCTCTTTAAAAAAAATAGTATTAGATGTTTTTATCTCCTGTCTTTTTCCTTTTGGAGAGGTTTGTGCTATATGGCACATGTGCTCGCCAGAAAGAGAGAGACAGAGAGACAGAAAGTGAGATATCACCCCCCAGGGGGGATGGCCATGCTGCAGTCCCTTCTCCATTCTCCTCTTGGGATCTTGGGTGCACACACACACATTCTGGCGTGAGTTTAAGCCACTGATCCGGGTCTCAAATTGTGTTCGACTACATGAGAGTCCAGCAACATAGCCATTACGCCAACTGCTAGTCCCTATCCTCTTTTTTTAAAAACAATTCTTCCACTTGGGACCAGCAGTTAGCGTAATGGCTATGTCACTGGACTCCCATGTGGTCAACCATGGTTCAAGTCCCAGACCGAGTGGCTTAAACTCACGCGGGGCACGTGTGTGTGCGTGCCCAAGATCCCGAGAGGAGAATGGAGGAGAAGGGATTGTGGTGTGGCCATCCGCCCTAGAGGGTGATTTCTCGCTTTCTGTCTCTCTGTCTCTCTCTGTCTTTTTGGCGAGCGCACATGCCCTATAGCAAAAACCTCTCCAAAAAAACCCAAAACAAACAAACAAAATTCCTCCTCCTCTTTTCTTTTTCTTTTCTTTCTTTCTTTCTTTTTTTTTTTTTTGCCAGAGAGTATGTGCACTGTGAGGATTGGGGTGGGGGTGTCAGATATGGGATGATAAGATATTTCCTCATGGGGATTAGTCATTCTGCAATCCCTTCTTCATTTCTCCCTTCTTTCAGAATTTTGAGCATTGGGACCAGCAGTTAGCGTAATGGCTATGTTGCTGGACTCCCACGTAGTCAACCATGGTTCGCGTCCCGGACCCGGTGGCTAAACTCACAACAAACGCGTGTGCGTGTGTGCCCAAGATCCCGAGAGAATGGAGGAGAAGGGATTGCGGTGTGGCCATCCCCTCTGGGGGATGATTTCTCGCTTTCTGTCTGTCTCTCTCTCTCTGTCTGTCTGGCAAGCGCATGCGCCCTATAGCAAAACCTCTCCAAAAAAAAAAAAAAAATTGAGCATTCATGCACACATACCCAGTATGTTTTTAAAGGTGTTGAGTCTTTGACTTGAGCCATTGAGTTGGCCATGTGGAATTCAACAGCCTTAATCTAACTTAAACATCATGCCACTGGCTGGCCCCATGATTCTTTAATCCATTTTTTACATTCTTCAGCCAGAATAGTTTTTCAGAAATGCAAAGCATTTAGGACTGCTTTTAGGACTTTGTGGCCCCCTGTGACCTTCAGGATGAAGTTAAAACTTATCTGCCTCTTCAGTTTCTACTCTTCCGGTTCTATCATTCTAAACATTAATTGTACGGAACTCTGCGGAGCTCCTTACACCATCAGTGTAGTCTCTTAGCCCTGTTGCCTTCACATATGTCCTGTGTGGGGCATCTCTGTGTGGTTTTTTCTTTAGCTAAATTCTAGAATATTGATTCAACACAGGTATGACCTCCACTAGGAAGTACCTAGCCCTGCCACTTCCCTGGCCCTGTCTGCCCCCCTAGTCTGAATTAGGTGTTTGCCCTTTTAGCTGTCCCGGCACCTTGTATTCCTTGTATTGCATTGTGTTTTAATCATCTGTTACTTGCTTTTCTTCCCCCCTGAATTGTAAACTTTCTGAGAGCAAAGACTAAATTTTTCTTGTCTAGCACCTGGTCTCATGGTAAATGCTCAGACTTTCCTGAATGAATGTTAAATGAACCACTTTAGCGGAACTTGTGGTATTCTATCTTCACATTCCTCATCCAGGACTTCTCATTGTGGGCCTGTCATATCAGATTGAATCATCTTTTATCACCTGTCATGATTAAATCACTTTAGATAATTGAGAGATTATTTTGTGGTATAAATATATATTTATTGCCTTTAGGATTTTTTTTCTCTAAATCTTAAATCATACACACACACACACACACACACACACATACACACACACACACTATTTCCTGTCACCCAAAGTAATCAATTCATTTGAAACACAGTTGTTGGTATTTTTAACAGAGCAATTATCTGTGACTCATCCAGAATAAAACTCTAATTTTTTCTTATACTTTTCCATAGGATTGAATTTTAACATCCTTTCTATGTTATGATTTCTTTGGTATAGTCACATAAAAACATAAAATAACAATAATATGTTTTACTCAGAATTGTTAGTGCTTGGGACCAGCAGATGGCATAATGGTTATGTTGCTGGACTCCCACCTAGTCAGCCGCGGTTCGAGTTCCGGACCTGGTGGCTTAAAACTTACACTTGGGCATGTGCACATGTGTGCCCAAGAGAATGGAGGAGAAGGGATTGCAGTGTGGTCATCCTCCCTGGGGGAGGTAATTTCTTGCTTTCTATCTCTCTCTTTCTCTCTAGCGAGTACATGTGCCCTATAGCAAAAATCTCTCTCTCTAAAAAAAAAAAAGAAATGTTCGTACTTACTAATAGTGTTTTTAAATTCACTTTTTAAAAATGAATTGCATTTTTGGGACCAGCAGGTGGCGTGGTGGTTAAGGCGCCAGACACTTCCACATGGCCGACCAGGGTTTGAGTCCTGAATCTGGTGGCTTGCTTTCTCACTTCCTCTCTCTCTCACTCTCACCCTCTGTCTCTCTCTGGTCAAATTAAAAAATAAATGAATGAAATAAATAATTATTTTTAAAAAATGAATTGTATTTCTGAGTTTAACATGGGAATAATTATGATTTATTCTAAATAATTTTAATGTCACATTCATTTGTTGTTTTTACAGATGCTGAAAATGAAATAAAGAGGCTGAATAGTTTATACCAGGTAAACTCATTTTAAAGGAGAAAGTTTTTTGCTTTAGTTTACTAAGAAAAAGTATTTTGATATATTATTGTTGCTTATTTTATTTATAAATATATGATGAACTTAACTCCCTAGGGACTTTGTTTGGATAATTTTATATTTGATAATTAATAGCATACTTTTTGAATCTTAAAATCAGCAGTTTTAAATGTTGCATAATTGAAAAGTCTAAGGATATCACTTTGTTGAAGATTAATTTGACAACTATTGCATGTGTAAGGACTGTGGAAGCAGATCCTATACCAAAGTGAAGAATGCATTTTTTAAAAATAATTATTTATTTTTTTTATTTATTCATTTGTTGATTTTTTTTGGGGGGGGGGGGAGAGGTTTTTATTATAGGGTGCATTCACTCTCCAGACAGACAGAGACAAAGAGACAGAAAGCAAGAAATCACCCCCCAGGGGGGATGGCCACGCCACAATCCCTTCTCCTCCATTCTCCTCTTGGGATCTTGGGCATGCACGCGCACGTGCCTGGCGTGAGTTTTAAGCCACCGGGTCTGGGACTCAAACCGTGGTTGACTACGTGGGAGTCTAGTGACATAGCCATTACGCTAACTGCTGGTCCCAGTAAGGAATGCGTTTTGATATTTCTTAAGGAATTCCTATGGAGTTTTGTTTTTTCTTAATACAAGTGATTTTTTTTTTTTGGAGAGATTTTCACTGTAGGGCGCGTGTGCTCCCCAGACAGAGAGAGACATAGAGACAGAAAGCGAGAAATCACCCCCGAGGGGGGATGGTCACGCCGCAATCCCTTCTCCTCCATTCTCCTCTCGGGATCTTGGGCACGCACGCACACGCGCCCGGCGTGAGTTTTAAGCCACCGGGTCCAGGACACGAACCGCGGTCGACTACGTGGGAGTCCAGCGACATAGCCATTACGCTAACTGCTGGTTCCCTTAATACAAGTGATTTTATAGATTTTAATTTTTTAAAATATAATTTAGAAATCCTCCATAAGAATGTTTAAAATGAGGGGCCAGCAGATTGTGTAGTGGTTATGTCCCAGGGCTCCCACATGACTGATCATGGTTCGAATCCTAGACCTGGTGGCTTGAAAATCATGCTGAACACGTGTGTATGTGCCCAAGATCCTAGGAGGAAAATGGAGAAGGAATTGTGGTGTGGACATCCTGCTTGGGCGATGATTTCTCACTTTTCCTCTCACTGTCTCTGTCTCTTTCTCTTTCTGGCAAGCACATGTGCCCTATCCAAAAACCTCTTTAAAAAAAGTCTAAAATTAATGACTTGTTTTAGATGGTCCATATCACATTATTAGAATTTTTGCATATCACTAAAGAAATACTGAATAGAGGGACCACCAGTTGGCGTAATGGCTATGTCGCTGGACTCCCACATAGTTGATCGCGGTTCCAATCCCAGACCTGGTGGCTTAAACTCATGCCAGGCGTGTGTTTGTGTGTGCATGCCCAAGATCCTGAGAGGAGAATGGAGAAGGGATTGCTGTGTGGCCATCCCCCCTGGGGGGTGATTTCTCACTTTCTTGCTTTCTAGCTTTCTGTCTCTCTGTTTTTCTGGTGAGCGTATGTGCCCTATAGCAAAAACCTCTCAAAAAAAAAAAATACTGAATAGAAACATACAATTGCCAATTTGTTTTTCTTTTTTCTCTTTTTTTTGAGAGTTTTTTTTTGCCATAGGGCATGTGTGCTCGCCAGAAAGATGGAGACAGAGAGATAGAAAATGAGAAATCACACCCCGGGGGGATGGCCATGCCACAGTCCCTTCTCCTCCATTCTCCTCTCGGGTTCTTGGGCATGCATGCACATGCGCCTGGCGTGAGTTTACCCACAGGGTCCGGGACTTGACCCGCAGTCAACTACATGGGAGTTCGGCGACCCAGCCATTATGCTAACTGCTGGTCCCTTTTTTTTTTTTTTTTTCTTTTTTAAGAGAGTTTTTTTTTTGCTATAGAGCACATATGCTTCATAGAGAGTGAGAGAGACAGAAAGCAAGCAAAAAATCCCCCCCACTCCAGGGGGGATGGCCACGCCACAGTCCCTTCTCCTCCATTCTCCTCTCGGGTTCTTGGGCATACATGCACATGCGCCTGGCGTGAGTTTACCCACAGGGTCCGGGACTTGACCCGCAGTCAACTACATGGGAGTTCGGCGACCCAGCCATTATGCTAACTGCTGGTCCCTTTTTTTTTTTTTTTTTCTTTTTTAAGAGAGTTTTTTTTTTGCTATAGAGCACATATGCTTCATAGAGAGTGAGAGAGACAGAAAGCAAGCAAAAAATCACCCCCACTCCAGGGGGGATGGCCACGCCACAGTCCCTTCTCCATTCTCCTCTTTGGTTTTGGAGATGTATGCACACGTGTGAGTTTTAAGCTGCCGGTCCAGGACTTGAACCATGATCAACTACGTGGGTGTTCAGTGACATAACCATTACACTGTCTGCTGGTCCCAATTGCCAGTATTTTTTATAAACCAGAAGTGTCTGTTATCTGAAAATACTGCTTTAATATTTTTGCAGGATAACAGTCTTGCTGAGGACAATCTGAAACTTAAAATGCATGTCCAAGTTTTAGAAAAAGAGAAGTCATTATTGAGTCAAGAAAAGGTGGGTGATGTAAAAATGGGCTGAATTAAAATGGTGTGTGTATTTTAATTACAGGTAAAGACTGGTTTGTGACCAAATGGAATGTTCAGTTATTGGGAATTCTGAGGATAAAGCTGATCTCACTGATGCTTGTCAAGCCAGGTTGAAGTACTTGGGCAAGGTTCAGACTATGACAGGCTGCCCAGAGTTTACATTAGAGATAAGCCAGTAGGCACATAGATAGGGAAGAAAGGCAGAGAAAGGCTCTGTTGTGTCTGATGCAGTCCCAGCAGCAGCAGTATAGACAGGTTGGTTGGGAGGTCTGGAGTGACACACTGTAATAACTGCACTGCTTGTACAGTCAATGTGTCCATCATGGTGGACAGAAATGTTTTTAATGGGGAGTGGAAAAGGAGACAGGTTAGTGGTGAAATAGGGTCTTTTTTTGTGTATGTTGGTAGCAAAGATGGAGTAAGATTCTGTAGGGGGAAAAGTATGTTTATATTTGTCCCACTTAGGGGAATTCCTTGGCTAAGGCAGAGACTTAACTTAGGACAGCAATAAGCTGGTTTTAAGTTAGAGGCCAGAGACTTAATTAATTAATTTTTAAAAAATCAGTAATGTTTTATTCGAAAGCCATAAAATTATATTTCGCAAGTTCAGTCTTATGTTCAAACTCTCTTCTATTGAATATGCAGTGTTGCCATGGTCCAGTCTTTCTGTTTAAATCCTGGAAGTTAGCATTCAACATTATTAATGATACTTCTGGTCCCTAGCATCAAATTGGTCATTTTTCTGGTTGCCTTCTGTATACATCTTTAGTTTTCCTGGTCGAGCACTCCTTTCAGAACTTCTTTTTTTTTTTTTTGGAGAGGTTTTTGCTATAGGGTGAGTGTGCTCGCCAGACAGACAGAGACAGAGAGACAGAAAGCGAGAAATCACCCCCCAGGGAGGATGGCCACGCTGCAGTCCCTTCTCCTCCATTCTCCTCTCAGGATCTTGGGCACGCACGCACATGCACCTGGCATGAGTTTTAAGCCACCGGGTCCGGGGCGCGAACTGCAGTCGACTACATGGGAGTCCAGTGACATAGCCATTATGCTAACTGCTGGTCCCTCCTTTCAGAACTTCTTGAACAGTGGGTCGGCTACTAGCACATTCTTTCAGGTCTTGTTGATCTGAGAATGTTTTTATTCTTTCTTTCCATATTAAAGATAATCTTGCTGGGTATTGTATTCTTGGTTAAAACTGCTTTTCACTTAACACTTTGAATATATGAACACACCAGGACATACCTCAGCTTTAAAATGGCTTCTTGTCTGAGTATTTTGGGAGACTACCAGAGACTTAATTTAAATTATTAATATTTTAAAAGTAATACATGCTTACTAATATATGTATTCTTATATTATATACTGAAGACTTCAGACAGTGCACGTGGAGTAGTGCCCTTCATACCTCTATGGCTTGGCCTCTTTCCCAGAGGCAATTTCAGTTTCTGTTACTAATTTCTGGTGTGTCCTTCCAGACCATATCTATGTATATATGTATTTTATATATATAAATATCTTTAAAAAATACTTATCAGGGCTGGCAAGTGGCATGGTGATTGAGATGCTGGTCTACCACATGGTGGACCATGGTCTGAGTCTGGGACTTGGCAGCTTGCTTTCTCACTCTCCCTTTCTCTCTCTGTCTTTCTCTGATTAAATTAAAAAATAATACTAACAAATAAAGTTAAATAAATAAATATTTCAGAAATACTTATGTCAGCATACTATAAATACTGTTCTTAATGTTATATTTTCAACATCTTTCTTCATTAGTGTACAGGAAGTGTTTCTGATAGGGGTTGCTATTGATACCTGTTTTTTTCTTTTTTTTTTTCTTTTTTTTTTGAGAGATTTTCACTGTAGGGCGCGTGCGCTCACCAGACAGAGAGAGACATAGAGACAGAAAGTGAGAAATCACCCCCCGGGGGGATGGTCACGCCGCAATCCCTTCTCCTCCATTCTCCTCTCGGGATCTTGGGCACGCACGCACACGCGCCCGTTGATACCTGTTTTTTAAAAAAATATTTATCTAATTCCATTTATAGTTGTTATTTTTTAAATCTTATCAGACAGAGACAGAGAGAGAGAGAAAGGGAAAGGGAGAAAACAAGCTGCCAGGTCGGGATTTGAACTGTTGTTAGCCATGTGGGAATCCAGTGCCTTTAAACCAGCACACCACCTGCCAGCCCCCAATATCTTTTTTTTTTTTAAAGAATTATTTTATGTTATTTAACTTTATTTATTTATTTTAATTTGACCAGAGAGGGACAGAGTGAGAGAGAGAGAGGGGGGAGGGGGGAGGGTTGGGCAGTGAGAATGCATGCCGCCAGGTCCAGGTCAAACCATGGTTGGCCGTGTGGAAGTCTAGCACCTTTGACCACCATGCCACTTGCCCACCCCACTATTGATATCTTTAAAGTGGGAAAATTTATAGTTGTGTGTGCTGTCTTTGCCACTGTTCTTTCCTCCAAGTTTATTTGTTTCTTCCATGAGAAAGATACAGCACTCCCAACAGGGTTTCGATGCTGCATTCTACCCTCAGTCTTCCAGCAGTCTGGGCCAGTGTTTGCCCAGCATACTCAGGGAGGTCTCTGGACTTGAACTGAAAATGATATTTTTCCCCTACTACTCTTTATACTCAATAAATGCCAGTAGTGTTTTCTCATCATTTAAAAAATATTATATATAGAAAAATGGAATTAAAGTACTGAGTTTACTTTGATGCAGACAAATTTTGGAATTCATGTACTTTTCCATGAATTCTTGACACACACACGCACACACCTGCTTATATATTCGTGTTTTGTTTCTGCTCTTACTGTATTCTGCTCTTTATTGATATGGTAGTTGATCTTGTAGTCTGTAGACCTGCCTATATATATCTGGTAGGTCCTGTAACCTTTCCAGGTTTTTTGATTTTTTGATTCCATAGCTGTTCCTGCTTCCTGTTTTTTCTTTGTTTTGATGTTCAGTAGTCCATTGTTACACATACTTGGGGTTCGTATACTGATTAAGAATGCCAAAAGTATCTACAAGGCTGTGTGTGCTCTTTAAGATCCTCCTGAAAAATGTTCGTGGTTCTCCTAATTGAACAGATAACTATAAAGACATAAGGAGATGCTATTTCCATCTTTCAGTTGTATTTCAGAATAAACTTTTGAACTGGAAGGAAATGAGAATTGTGATGAATATGCTCCAGTGTAGCATTTGTCAGTCTCTTGTAAGGTATATATTAGGTTCTTTATTTAAAGAAATTTGAGGTTCTTATTTAAAGCAGATTCCATAGAAGTTTTGTTTTTCTTTTCTTTCTTTTTTTTTTTTTTTCAGTTTACTAGAAGGTGTATACACTCAGCAGAGAGAGCGTCAGAGAGAGGGAAAGTGAGACATCACCCCAGCCCCACCCCACCCCCGGGGAGGATGGCCACACTGCTATCCCTTCTCCTCTCAAGATTTTGGGTACTCATGCACATGCGCATTGTGTGGTTTTCAGGTAGCCAGATCTGGGACTCAAACCACACAGTTGGCCTTGTGGGGTCCAGGTGCCTTATCCTCCATGCCTTATGCTGGCCCCAGAAGTTTGATTTTTCAAAATCTCTGTCACCAAGAAGGCTTTGAATGATACATAGTTTATTATGGATATCATAACGAGAGGTTAAAATAATGTTAAAATATAGAGAACTGTCCTGTATCTGGGATTTGGGAGAAAAGCCTTAAAAACCAAGTAATTGACTATAAAGTTTCCAAAGATTTTTTTTTTTTTTAGAGGTTTTTCTCTATAGGGTGCGTGCTCTCGCCAGACAGAGAGAGACATAGAGACAGAAAGCGAGAAATCACCCCCCAGGGGGGATGGTCACGCCGCAATCCCTTCTCCATTCTCCTCTCAGGATCTTGGGCACGCACGCACATGTGCCCGGCATGAGTTTTAAACCACCAGGTCCGGGATGCGAACCGCGGTCGACTACATGGGAGTCCAGCGACATAGTCATTACGCTAACTGCTGATTCCCGATTATAAAGTTTATATATATAGATATATCTTTAGGAATGTCAGGTTTGAGGGAGATGCACCTAGTCTGCTTTAGTTAGTAATGGTGACGGAAGGAAGGTAGCCACTTTCTTGGATCAATGTTCTGTGTTCTGACAGTAGTAGTACTAAAATTCCTTTAATGAGGAAAAAGAAGTTTCTTGTTTTCTAATAAACTGTAGACTGAACGTGTGTTAATTTTTTGTTTTCATTTAGGCTATGGCTGTTAGTGACCTGATGTTAGGGAATGGAAGTGAAGGAAGTTGGAAAGCTCAGGACATTCTGAAGAGAACATGTGGGTGGATGGGGAGGAGAGAACGGGAAGCAGCAGTGGGATAGGAACGACTTTCAAAAAGTGAAAGTTTTATATAAAGAAGTTGGAGGAAAAGACAAACTTAGAATTGTATAATAGCGCCTTTTGGCCAGAACCGCCATCTTCCAGTAATTAACCAAAATGACGAACACAAAGGG